TATATATATATATATATAATTTTTTTTTTTTTTAAATCATGAATTCCTGGTGGGATATGCAGTATAAAATATGGAATAATTTTCCACAGTTCTCTTAAGAGCAATGTACTATGATTAAATGTGTCATTCAGATGCATTTCTGCCTGGATCACAGCGAGTGAGATGGTTTATGAAACTACTTACTCACACAGTGATGAGCTTGCAGTGCTTATTCATCAAGCAGGAGAGAGGTACAACATTTCACTACTTTAGTGTCTCCCAACACATAAACCTGAGTTTTCCCACATGAACAGGCTGAACTTCTGGTGCATGTGGTAAAAGAAAAATGCAGAAATAGTCTTTGTAGTCAAGGTTTTGTCATAATCAAAGGCACACTTATGATTTCTTTTTTTGTAAATCTTTCATCAGCCTTCAGATGAATGCACATGTGTACTATATTGGATGGCAAACTCTGGGCACTATAGGACTGACTGATGCCAGCGAATGCGTCCCAACATATGGAGCAGGTGCTGTATGCAGTGCCAATTATTATTTTACCATTTGATATGTTCTTTAAACAGTTTGTTAACGGGTAAATAACAGTGCAAGAATACATTTATGAGAAATGTTTAAACCCAGAACCACCTTTTAATTGTAATTATTTTATCAGATTTTGATGACATCAGAGGTTTTATCAACAATGGTTTCAGAGAAATGAAAAACAAAGAGGGAGATCTATCATTTCTGGTGAGCTCAAAGTTATTGATTTAACAACTTAAAGGGATAGTTCATCCAACAATGAAGATCTTATCATCATTTACTCATTCTCATACTATTCTAATGAATTAAATATTTTTGCATCTGCAAAACTATCACTTTAAAGGTAGCAATTGGAATAATCTAAGGCCATATTTACCTGAATATTTCTTATTACAACATTTATTAATAACTATTAATATAAAAACAACTATTTCTAGGGGCCAGAATTCATAATTGGTCACAAAGATTTTGTGGAGACCATCTTACCGAGTCTGAGTCAAAATGACATGATGCTGTTTCTGTTTGCAGTGAATGGTGAGCAAACACGAATTAGTTGCATATAACAGTATGGTCAGTTCCTTGAATATATTTTAAATATATTTGAATGTCTCTCCTAAGATGACCTACACGAGGTGACGGCACTGGCTGATCAAGTGAGGCGAAGGACATCTAATTTGCATGCAATTGCTCATGACCTTGAGAAATTCATCATTCCTGTGAGTAAAAATGAGTAACCAGGATCTTTGCCGCTAGCAAAAACTCTCACTTCTTAATAAAATTCCCTTGCAGTACATGTCTTGTAAGTGCATAATGCTGCTTATGTGATCATTCTTGCATGGACTTTGCAGTTTAAAAGAGAGCAAATATCTTACATATTATTTTAAATAATTTTATATCTATATATTGCTTCAGAAAACAGTATGCAACATGTTTGGAACCGTTCTGCACATCACATGGTCTTTTTCTTCAGAGGAGGTGAACTCAGTTGTAATGGTAAGCCATTTGTCACATGAATCCCCACAAGTACCAATTTAGTTGAAGTATTTATACTGTAACATCTATATCTATCTATCTATCTATCTATCTATCTATATATATATATATATATATAATATATACATGCTGTAAGAATAATAAAATAAAGACTTCAAAGAGTCTTCTTTTCAACAGAGACAGCGCTGGGAGCTTTCAACTAAATGGTGTCTTAATGCAATCAGCACAGGAGCTCATGTACTGAAGGGAAAAGTCTACATGAATTACATGATAGACCTCAGAGTAACTAACAGCAAGCTGTACAGGAGAGCCATCAGCATTTTACAGGTACATACATACATACTGTTAGAATCAAATTAAACCCCGTTAGATTAGACCTCATAAATGCCAAACAACAACCTGTTTTCGATCTCTTATAGAAGCTATACAGTGGAGATCAAAATTAGAGAACAATCTATAAACACTTGATTTTTTTCTGAAATATTGTTAATCTTCATCTGTCAAAATTTGAAGGAATATTAGCTGTGGGTATACCACTGTTCTACTAACATGTTTGACAAAATAACCAATTAAGAATCTTTATTTTTAAGAGCGTAGCATTATAGCAAGAGTTTTGGATGGCCAAACCACTCATATTTTCTTCAGAAAATATAAAAATATAGTTAGAATTTTAAAGAAATATTATATCTGGCTATTTTTAACTTTCAGTTTTGAAAACTGATTGAGCTGGAACTGTAATACAACCCCTGTGTGTGGTTTCCGTATGGTGGGTTTAATTATATACCATCACTGTCAGCGGTTCACAGGCTGCTCCAAAAGCAAGTGTGAAAGAGCTCTACTGAGAGCCATCTACAGTACAGATGACCTGAGTGAAGACATGGCATCAGTAGATGTGTGGAAACACACAGATGCGGCTAACAGACGAGATCGAGTAAGAACTCGCTTATTTATGTTCAGTATTAAAGATTACCTAACACTTATTTTTAAAATAATATTTACACTAACAAAGAATAGTAGGTAACACATTAGTTAACATTATGTAATGCATTAACTAATATTAAAGGAATATTTAACCCAAAAAATTAAAATTTGAAATTTGAATCTGAAAATGTTCATCACCATCAGGCCATCCAAGATGTAGATGAGTTTGTTTCTTCATCAGATTTGGAGAAATGTAGCATTGCATCACTTGCTCACCAATGGATCCTCTGCAGTGAATGGGTGCCGTCAGAATGAGAGCTGATAAAAACAATCACAATAATCCACACCACTCCAGTCCATCAATGAATGTCTTGTGAAATGAACAGCTGTGTGTTTGTAAGAAACAAATCCATCACTGGATGAGAAAGCAATAATTTCGACTCTCATTTTAGCCGGAAGGAATGGTTTAAAGTTAAAACGTCTTAATGATGGATTTGTTTCTTAGAAACACATCATTGATGGACTGGAGTGGTGTGGATTACTTGTGGATTATTGTGATGTTTTTATCAGCTGTTTGGACTCTCATTCTGACGGCACCCATTCACTGCAGAGGATCCACTGGTGAGCAAGTGATGTAGCAATGCTACATTTCTCCAAATCTGTGAAGAAACAAACTCAGCTACATCTTGGATGGCCTGAGGGGGAGTCAATTATGAACACATTTTCATTTTTGGGTGAACCTTTCCTTTAACTATTATACACTTTAATAAAAGCATTGCGTTATTTTCAAAGGCAGGTTTAACTGTGATACCTGATATGTTCTGCACTGGCAGGTGGTCCCGACTGCACTGGTGATGATGCAGTGCGGCTGCACTCTCGCTGAAGCACGGCATCATTTGGATTGTCATCCTGTGATTCGAGATGCAGTGAGCGCCTGCTTCAATTCTTCGAAGACCAAAAGCACTATGGACTAAACAACAAAATAATGCATTCTCACTATGAAGGGGCATTTTTAAGATAATGTGTTTGAGGCTGTGTTGCTTGGCTACTTATCAGTGACTACAAATTGTTATACTCTGTATGCATGCTGTGGCCTTTTGTTTTTGTTGAAATAAACCCAACTGGATGACATCAGGGGAATTCTGATAATTTTTTCGCAAAATACTTCCTTGACCTACTAACAATAACTAGTAGGAACCTGTCTGGCTGCAGTGAGCTGGTAAAGTAAGTTAGTCATGCCATTATGCCATCATTCTGCTGGAGTGCACAAGGCATGAGCAGACATGACTGGTAAACATGGGAAATTCTATGTGCACTTGTAAACGTTGCTGCCCGTGTTGCCCACCAAAGAACGAAGAGCAGTCCCTGAGCCGCAAAAGAGTCTTCAAGTCGATCTACGACTATCCCTCACGCACAATATGGGATCTAAATCTGAAGAAAGGAGATATTCTGGAGGTGACAGGAGAGACTGAGTACTGGTTGTATGTGAGGAGACGCACAGCTAAGGCTAATGGATCTAAGGGCTTTGTGGAGGAAAAGGGATATGTGCCTAAAGACTTCATCAAACCACTTGATAGCGTAGAGTCCGAGCCGTAAGTTACTTTTGATCATTTTGAGCTTGTGTGAATGCATAATATATAGAGCAATCTCACGCTTAGTGTTTTGAATCTCTGCCCTGAATGAAACTGGAATCCTGTGTTTCCAGTTTCACAAGCTCTGGTGAAGTTGCTACAGTGCTGTCACTACCCAGTTTGTGTTTTTCTGTAGAAATGACTCTTGGAAATGATTATAGAGTTGGGGTTTGTACATTATTGACAGGAAGCTAAGATATAACAGTGTGAATCTTGTGAAAACTATCAAGAGACAAGTATAAGATATTAAATTCTTTTAAAAAATCTTAAATTCAAACACTTATTACACAAATTACAAAACATAAATAAATAAATAATTAAATAGTCCATTAAATTTGCTATATATATATATAAAAATAAATAAATATATATATACCAAAATTATAAACGCAACACTTTTGTTTTTGCCCCCATTTTTCATGAGCTGAACTCAAAGATCTAAGACTTTTTCTATGTACACAAAAGGCCTATTTCTCTCAAATATTGTTCACAAATCTGTCTAAATCTGTGTTAGTGAGCACTTCTCCTTTGCCGAGATAATCCATCCACCTCACAGGTGTGGCATATCAAGATGCTGATTAGACAGCATGATTATTGCACCGGTGTGCCTTAGGCTGGCCACAATAAAAGGCCACTCTAAAATGTGCAGTTTTACTGTATTGGGGGGTCCGAAAACCAGTCAGTATCTGGTGTGACCACCATTTGCCTCACGCAGTGCAACACATCTCCTTTGCATAGAGTTGATCAGGTTGTTGATTGTGGCCTGTGGAATGTTGGTCCAATTCTCTTCAAGACTTCCAGTTCAGGAACTGGAACACGCTGTCGTATACGACGATCCAGAGCATCTCAAACATGCTCCACACACACACACACATAATATCTCAAGCCTCTACGCTTTTATTTAACTGTATTGTTTTGCACTTCAACCCAATAAAAAAAGAGATCTAGTAACAATAAACCAACCTTGATCTTAACTTGGAGAGTAGCTAAATAACATTTTCTACAAATTATTTCTTTTAAAGTGTGGAACGGCCTTCATGCACGGCATTACAGGGTCAAGCGGGGAGAAAACGACAAGCAGTTTTTCCTTGTTCATCACACAACCTTCCAGACCTTGTGTGAGCTGATAGAGTTTTACTCTAAAAACGAGGGTGGACTCTGCGCGAAGCTTCACGAACCCTGTGTGAAGGTCAGAGAAGAGTTACAACCTACAGATTAATGAAAGTACTGCAGCATCCTATAACAAAGTTTTCCAGCACAATTCCAATCTGTCCATTACTCTTCTAGCTGGACCAGCCAGCTCCTCTGACTCTGTCATTTGAAACCAAATGGGAGGTAGAGAGAAGCTCACTTACCAAAATAAAGAAGCTGGGCAGCGGGGAGTTTGCGGAGGTCTGGCAGGGGCTCTGGAACAACACCACAGAGGTGGCCATCAAAGAGTTCAAAGGTAAATCAGGTTAAATCAGTGATTCTCAACTGGTTTTACTTCATGTCCCATGTTTTACATTTAATACTGAGTGCCGACATAAAAGCAAACGAAATGCCCTAAAAAATTAAGAAATGACATTCATTAATATTCCCATAAACATATTTTGCGGTCGTGAATATAGGGTTTGTTGCATTTAGTATCATTTTTCACCTGCTAATCATGATCCAAAACAAACCTGTGATTTACTTTTAAAATTATGATCAATTGATATTATCTGTCCCACTTTACTTGCAGATGTCAACTATTCAAATATCAAAACAGAGATTGATATCATGAAAGAGCTGCATCATGAGCATTTGCTGAAGCTCTACGCTGTGTGTACTAATAGTGAACCCATGTGTTTAGTCACAGAGCTCATGAAAAATGGCAGTTTAAAGCAATTTCTCATCAGTAAGTGAAGTAATATCAACTTGTTTGCAACTAAAAACACTATAAATATCATTACCTTCATTTTGACGTTAACTGACACATTGCTTTTGCAGAAAAAAAGTGCTTTTTAAGAAATAAGTTTATATTTTTCTTCAGGCCACAAAGAGAAACAAGACCTGGAGTTTTCAATCATGATGGATTTTGCCGTCCAGGTAACTTGATTTCTTTGAGAGTAATTCCGGTAATCTGGAATGTGATCAAAAATCATACGGGCAGTGTTCCTTAAAAACAATTAAGCTCAACATAAAAACCCCCATTTCTGAAAGAAACAAGAAAATCAATGGGAGGAACTGCAGGGCAGGATGGTGAAAAGTGTCTCTATATGACCCTTTTTATTAAAAAAATAAGAGCGGCTAGAAAAGGGTTTTCTGGAAACTTCAAAGCAGTGCTATTTTTAACCTAACTTTATAGTACATAAAAAAAATATTTAGAATAACATACACTGATGAATCATTATAACCTATATATGTCAATGCATTCTCTCTAAGTAAGCAATTCATACATTGATTTCTATGAAAAGGCTCCATTTATTGCTGTTAGTTTAAGTGGCCTGACACAGCAACACTGACATTAAGGTTAGGGAGACAGGTGACGTGTTCATTATTTTTGCAATTCCATTCAGTGTTGCTGTCATGCGAGATCAACGGCTTCTCAAATTGATGCTTCCTCATTTCCTCCCTCCCGGAAATCGATCATCATGACGGACATATCAGTTCTCAAAATGCACTCAAAGAGCTGAGGAATGAGGAAGCCCTCTATTTGGGGTTAAAACACCTTACAGATGCATAGAAACTCCCCATTCACATCTGCCACAACAGTCACATTTATATAAAACATTTCATATACCTCAGCAGTGCATCTTGCATTGTTAAAGGAACACTCCACTATTTTTGAAAATAATAGCTTAGCATAGGTCATTGAATCTGATTAGACCATTAGCATCTCGCTCAAAAATGGCCAAAGATTTTC